GTTTTAACGTTCTTTCTCTATCTGACTAGGACCTATGACTTTTTTGTACATTTCCAATTTCGTGTTTTTCTCATTCGTGAACCTTAATGCAAAGAGGGGTTGTAACTGTGGAGCTCTCTCGAAATTTATGGTACCATTAAATCTTACAGCTATAACCATCTTCAAGTTCTCTCCCGGGAACAGCATGCTTCAAAGTCATAATGAATTATCTTCAAGCAACTGAGAACACAAAATAGGTATATGATACAGAGCATACGTTCGTCCCGTGACATATCAAACTGACTTTGATGTCACTGTGAGCCCATGAACTTTGCTTCCCATTAGGCGATTGACGTAGTTAAGTCTTCAACTTGCTGGCTTGGGTTTGAATCCCTCCAGGACCACCAAGTTTTTTACGAGTGAGCCAAATGAACAAAAGTGTACTTTATGCCCCCTATAGTCAGACGCTCTGGGCGCCTACTCTAAGAACGGCAAAACCGTCTTATAGGGTCCTCTATATATCTATCACTCCCCCCAGCCAACTGCCTAACTTATTTTGCGGTCAAACATTTAATTGCCAATAGAAGTTTATATGCGAGTTCCAGTGTTGCCACTTGCTGTGTTTCCTGGCCCTGTGATATGTCAGTACTTTAGATTTCGATTTTGGGTACTCGAGAAAACGTACGTAGGTGTCGCATTTCTGCTATCCTTCTCGTCATCCTTAGCAAATGATAACCTATTTTCGAATCATACAGATTTGATTATCAATGTTATGGTGACAGTGAATTATTTTCAGAATTATTTGTGGTCTATTAAAGTTATGGGTACATTTACTGTTCAAAATGGAAGTCCTCACTTTTCTATGCATATCGGAGCAGTTCTCAGTATATTTTGTTACTTCGTGGCCTTGTTCTTTGATTTCAAAGTCACACCAGAATGAAAAAAATACATGCTCCGATTATACCAAAACTGATAAACTACTGCCTGTTCTGTTTCGAGATTTTATATTCGATGATTCTCTTCATTATATGGAACTCATATGGATTTGATTATCAATGTTATAGGGTCAGAATTAGTTGTGCTCCATTTAAAATGCCTTGACATATAAGATACTATATGAAAAGTGCCTCTTCAAGAGCTGTCAAATGAAATGAAGCCATCGGGATCTCATATTGCAAATATGCCTGAGGAAATATCACTTGAAAGTAGCCAATGAAATGCGAAAGCTATAGCCAACGGGATACCCGCGGAAGGACTATTAGTGAACAACTAAGTGCATCAGTAATTTATCCAAGGCAAACAGTATGTTTCATTTGAAATTTAATCCACAGTGCCATTAAGGTAACATCTACGCTAAAGTTCTTCGTTGAGCACCACGCATTTTAACTGACATCATTCATTCTGACGAAGTTACTTCTTGTTTTCCTAGACGAAGGATGAATCACACATCGGCGACTTATCAGGTCACCAACTACATGGTGTTTAAATTCCTCGATCTAGACTGCAGTTCAAAGTAATCAATCAACTGCATCGTCTGCAGACCGCATGGCTATTTAAGCAGCTACTTCAGTACCTCAGTCGACACATCTGCGGTGAGTTGATATACCTAGCTTAAGTGCTTAACTTGTCAGAAATCGTCTTCGTCAAACTCACTCATGCAAATCGCCCTTTATTTTAGTTTTAGATATCTACGCCGACACAATGAACAAATTCCTCTTCAGCACTCTTCTAGTCGTCGCAGTGGTCTTCATTGGTAAGCCATTTTTTGTTTGCCGGCTACTGTGCCTGTTCTGGGGGTGAATCTAAAGTACATTTTGCCTGCTGTCTTGTAGACCGTTACGCAGTTGCCACTGGAGTCAGCGAAGACAAACTAGGCAGTGATGGCGGCGAAGGCGGCAATGACAACCAAGGAAATGGTGGCGGCCAAGGTGGCAATGGCAACCGAGAAAATGGTGGCGGCCAAGGCAGCGATGGCAACCAAGAAAATGGTGGCGGCCAAGGCGGCAATGGCAACCAAGAAAATGGTGGCGGCCAAGGCGGCAATGGCAACCAAGGAAATGGTGACGGCCAAGGTGGCAATGGCAACCAAGAAAATGGTGGCGGCCAAGGCGGCGATGGCAACCAAGAAAATGGTGGCGGCCAAGGCGGCAATGGCAACCAAGA